AAGATGCCCTCTCTGCACTGGGCAGAAGCCCTGCCGCCACCTCCTCCCTCCTGTGAACTGGGCTGTCCAGAGGTGCCTGAGGAGGAGTTGGAGGGCAGGTAAGTATGTTGCCTGCTGCAGTGCCCCATGTGTGGACCCCCGAGATCCTCTGGGATACAGGTGCAGAGATGCTGGTCAAGGAAGGGAGGGGATGGTGGAAAGTGCAAGAGATAGGTATGGGAACTACTTGGCCTTTTCCTTCCTTTCCTGCTCTTTGTCCCCAGCTCAGAGTCAGAAGAGTGGTGCCCACCAATGCCTGAGAGAAGCCACCTGACTGAGCGCAGCATCAGTGGGGGGTGCCAAATGGCTCCATCCCAAGGGGAAACCCCCTCTCCTACACCCTCCTATGGACAGCAGTCCACAGCCACTCTTACACCCTCACCACCTGACCCTCCCCTGCCCTCCAGTGACATTCCCCATCCCCACCAGATGCCCAGGTAAGGAGGTGTGTGGACTTCACACATCTCAAGCCCTCTGTACATCCCTGCTCATTCCTGGGTGGGTGGACAGCTGAATCTGAGGTCCTGGGGTCTGAGGAGGTGTCAGGGTCGAAGTGTAACATGGGGAAGGATACAAGGGCTGACGGAGTCTCAGTCCTCAACCTGGCTGTTCGTTGGATGACTGCAAGCATTCGGAAGGTATTTCATATATGGCTCTGGTCCAGCTCCCCTAGCTTGGGAACCTTTGTGGGACACTATTCTTCTGTGTCTGCGATAGTGCCGGGAAGGTTCTTAGTTTTTGAGGGCCAACCCAATGCAGAGGTCTTGTGTCATTGCAGGAGGGTACCCCTTGGGCCAAGTTCCCCTCTCAGTATCTCCCAGCCCGTTCTTAGTAGCCATGAAGGAAGGTTGGCTGGCCCAGGTGCTGCCCCCACAGTCTCCCATCACCTCAGCTCTGGCCCCACTCCTAGCACTCCCAGCAGTGCCCCAGGTGAGTCTATAGACCCTCACTTGCCCCCACCTCTCCATACCCATCGATCTTATTTTTTGCTTACCTGACCCCCTCCCTTGCCTGTCTTCTCTCCATCCCCTGATGCTACAGGGAGAACCGTTCAGGTACCTGGAGAAATGACACCTTCACTTCAAGGACCACGTGCACGAGTCAGAAAGAAGCCCAAGGCTCCTCCCTATCGGAGGGAGCACAGTCCTGGGGGTGAGGGGACTTTGGGCCTGGGAGATGGGAACAGTCAGGGAGAGAGCGAGGCAGGAGACCAAGGGTGAGGTGGGGGCTAGGTCAGATGAGTTGTGGGCCATTCATTTGCAGCCTCCTGCTGTCAGGGGAGGAAGGTGGGAGGAAGACTGGACTCTGCTGAAAACACATTTCTCACCAGACTTGCCTCCACCGCCCCTGCCACCACCAGAGGAGGAGGCAGGGTGGGCCTTGGGGCTGAGAGCAACAGGCAGCTTGTCCTCTTTGGAGCGGGAACGCAGTGGGGAAAGGAGAGCGTTGCAGGCAGTGCCCCCTGGGGCCCAGCGGGGACCCCATCAGGATGGTAAGAGGACCTGGGTGACCGGAGGGGACTGGAGGCTAGTCCAGGTGTTACCCAAACATCCTTCACCTTTAGTGGTGTTCTTATATCTGGCCAGTGGCAAAGGCTCTCGTCTCTGTAGCTGTCTTTGAGCAAATCCAAGGTGTGTCCTTTCTTGGGACTGAAGCCCAGGATGACAGAAGAGCAGGGTCTGAGAGCTGGATCTGCCTGGCCCTGGGGCTATCTCCATTTGGGAGGCTCCCACATATTTCTGAGCCCTCCTTAGGACAAGGCCGTATCCTGAACACTCTGCTTCTCAGCTCTCAGCATGACCAAGGCCAGCACCCGCCCCTCTGTCATTACCCAGCACTAGGACAGCAGTTAGCGGGGCATGTGGGTGCCTCTTGCCTGGGCCCAGCTGCCCTTCTCTGTTTTCCTGCAGAAGAGGCCTGGCTCCCATATGGCAGGCCACGCTTCCTGTCCCGTGGCCAAGGCACCAGCACCTGTTCCACAGCTGGGAGCAACTCTTCCAGGGGCTCTGGCAGTTCTCGGGGTTCCCGGGGCCCTGGACGGAGCCGAAGCCGGAGCCGAAGCCAGAGCCAAAGGCCAGGACAGAAACATCAAGAGGTGGGGACTATAGGACCTCAATGAGAATAGAAGATTAGGGAGGATAGACAAACGGGTGACTAAGAACAAGGCTGTAGGACAGGCCCTGGGGGCCCATCAAAGGCAGTGGGTGAAGACAAACACTAGGAGACACGGACCTGCCCTGCCCCTGTCGTGGTATAATCACAGGAACTTCGCAGGGGGGTGGGGCGAAGAGGAGACTCTTTGTGCTGGTGTGTGTGTGTATGCACATGCACACGCACACATCCTCTGTCCTCTAGAAGAAATGACAGGTGGCAAAAGCGTAGGTTGCATGCCTGCTATCCCAGGCCTGAGGCTAGCCTGGGCAACTTAGACCCTTACCCTGACCCTGACCCAAAATACAAGTTTTCAAAAGGCTGATGTTGTGCTCTGTGTGGTAGAGTGCTTGTCTAGCAAGGGAGATGCCCTGAGTCTAATCACCAGTACAACAAAAACTAAACAAATAAACACAGAAGAAAAACAAGAGGACAAGATGACTCAACTTAGAGAGGGGCCTGGGTATTCATGGGAGAGTTGGACTAGGAGAAAGATTGATCCCTTCCTCTGACCTAGCGCCTTGGCCTAGGGCTTTACAAAACACCCAGCATCTTTTTGTCTCTCTATGGCCAGGAACCAAGATGACCTTTGATGAAGTCATGAGACTGTAGAGACTGGGGCATGGGGCCCCTGCCCTGTGAATGAAGAGGAGCAGGATGGAGCCCTCGTCTCTCCTGCGGTGATGCTTGTGGTTCTCGGAAGCCCCTGGGCCTCGTAGCTGTGTTTGGTTTGGAAGTCAGCAAGCCAGTGCCTCCCCTTGAGACCTGTTCTGACTGAGACCTATTTGTGTAAGAGACAATAAAGAGGGTCTGACCCAAGCCTTGGACTGGCTGGCCTGTGTGGTGCACTGGGATGCGGGAGGTCAATCGGCATGAGTAGATTCTGTGTCCTCTTGAACACCCAGCAAAGGTACTGGGTGAAGACAAACGCTCGGAGACACGGAGCTGTTCTGCCCTGTCCTGGTATAATCACAGGGACTTCGCAGATAGTCAGTGAGCAGACACCTGCCTCACCTTCTGAGAACACAGCCTGGCTCTTCTTCAGCACCTACCTCTGGGATTTTTGTAAAAAATCTTTTTATTGATTTATTTGGTGGCATGCTGTACTGAGGATTGAACCTGGGTCCTTGTGCTTGCCAGGCACGCACTCAGACCATGGAGCTATCTTTCCAGCCCCTACATCTGGGGTTTATCTGCTCTTTTGTAAGGGAATGCGGTCATCACAATAAAACTTAGTTTTGAAAAACCCAAAGGAGGGACAAGGGCCAGGCAAGAAGAAAGCACATGTTTCTGCGTGCTCAGGATTCCCTCGGGGATCTGCAAGTGGTACCGCTTGACCAGTTCGGGCCCAGAGGCGATGGATTTGGCTGACAGGGAAATATAAAATCTATTTGGCCATGAATGCCACAGTCCCCATCACTTGCAGCAGCAGCCCACTTGCTGGCTGCCTGAGGAATTACTTCCTTTTCCTTGCTCCAGCCTCAGCTCTCTGACTGCCCTGGACCCTGGAGCATGGCCTCTGCTTTTCACGCTCCAGCACCAGCCTCACCCTCCAGGTTGATCCAAATCCCTCTTCCTCTCTCAGGTTGGCATACAGGGTTGGAATGTTTACAAAAGGAAATTTATCAGGAAGCCCAAAGAATCCCCCCCAGCCCCCAAAGGCAGATAACATGGACACATACCCGAAACACAGATTCTTCCTAGGATCACAGAATTGCAGCTCAGACTGGCCAGATAAACACACACCCGGCCCTGTCGCACACACTTGGCTCCCGAACTCAGAGTGGACCTGCTTGGATTGGAGGGCTGGTACCTCCTTGCAGGACCCACTTCTGGGATACCCTATCGCAGAGGCATCTTCCTGCGGTCCTGGTCATGCTTGCAGCACCCCGACTGTAGGTTGTTGACCTTCCCCGCCGCAGCCCCCCTTTGCTTTCAGTGGCTTCTACCCCATTCTCTCTGCTCTCAAGTTTTATTGCAAGACTGTTTATTCATTAGCCAGCCATCATGGCTCTACTTTTGTGGGACTTAGTGTCTTTGTCTATTTTTTTGCTCCTTACTTATTTATTTGGTACAGGGTTTCCCTACCAGTTCAGACTCGTAGTGATCCTCCTCAGCCTCCTGAGGGCTGGTATTACTGGTGTGTGCCACCACACCTGGCTTGGGACTCTGAGGAGAGGGGCTGGGACTGCAGAAAGCAGGCACTGTCTTCTCAGAAGTTGCCAGGGCCAGCAGCCTGTGAAACTCTCCCACCTTCCTTTTAGTAGATGCTGCTCACACTCCCATGACTGTACTTCATGCGCTCTGCAGTTGCAGAACAGGCATAAGGGGTCCCTGGGTGTCAATGCACAGTTGATCCCTTCCTAACACAGAGGTCTCTTGCCGTCCAGGGGCCTTCCGCAGAGTGATACCCCAGGAAATGTTCTCATGAAGTTCAAGTCTTTACAGTTTTATAGCATCAAGTGCCAGAAGCTCAAAGTGACAATGGGATGAGCAGGGTGCTCTTGTCCCACCCCTCACACCTCCCTTTCTTCAGTTTCCTCCCTGGACCCATCCTTAGGCCCTTGGCCTTGGTGCTAGGTAGGGCCTCAGGGCCTCTTCATTCTCCCTACATGATGGGGCTGGGGAGATGGAGGTCCTGGCCTCTAGAGGAGGGGCCCACTTAGGACTGTGAGGAGGCACTCTTCTTCCACAGCCCTCACTGAGCAGCTGCTGGGTCCTCTGTGGAGACCCTAATAGCTCCCCACTTCTGGTGACCTGAAGGTGGGGAGCGCAGGCAGCAGAGCTGCTCCTTACGCCAGGCCCAGGCCATGGGGGTGGCTCTGAGGAGAGACAGGGAGGTGATGCTTTGCTTGGCGAGTGCTCAGATCTGCTTTGTTCTGGCTTTCATCTGTTCTTTCTCTTTTGAGCAATCTTGGTAGGAGAACCCTCCTGGAGGCACAGGCCAGCCTTGTGAGCAGACAGGAGGGGTAGTCGGATGTCCTTTTGTCTATCTCAGGGACGAAGGTCAGGAGGAATCTGTAGTAGGAGTTGAAGAGCAGAGCTATCTCCCCTGATCCTGTCTCTCCTTTTTTTTTTTCAATACTGGGGATTGAACTCAGGACCTTGTGTTTGCCAGGCGAGCCCTTATTCTATTGACCTAGCTCCCTGGCCCGATCCTGTTTCTCCTGCCAGACCCCATGCTTCCTCTTGGCCCCTCCCCAAGACCCCCCATGTGACGCTCACCATGTTAGCCAGATAGCCACACACACTCACCACCAGCCATGGGCATGGGACAATTGAGCCGATTTCGCTGGGAAGAGATGCCAGAGTCAGGGGTCCAAGAAGACAGCCCCCTTCCCAGCTGCTGGGTGTGGTTGATCTCTATGTCCTCCAACCAATCTGGCCTCCATTCCCATAGAGGGAGGGAAAGGGCAGGCCTTAGGAAGATGTCATCCCGTGGGGAGGGAGGTGAGGAGGCATCTGTGAGGGAAAGTAGAGGTGTCTGTGGGCGCTGACTTCAGCCTCTAGGGGCCAGTTTAGGGCAGAACACATAGGACCAGCTTAAGGTATACACCCAATCCTAACATAAACTAGCCCCCACTCAGCCCTTAGTCCCAGCTCTGACTGCAGACAAGAGCCCAATCTATTGATTTCTTCTCTTTGTCCTACCTTGCCCCACCCAACCCATTTCCTTCTCTTTTTCCTCCTCCACTACCTCCTCCTCCTCCCTTTTTTCACTTCCTCTTCCCCTTATCCTCCTTACTCCTCTCTCTCTCTCTCTCTCTCTCTCTCTCTCTCTCTCTCTCTCCCTCTCTCTCTCTCTGTTAGAAATTGAGCCCAGGGGCTTTTGCACTGAGCTACATCCCCAGACTTCTTTTTATTTTTTATTTTGAGACAGGGTCTCACTAAGTTGCCCAGGCTGAGCTCAAACTTGCAAGCCTCCTGCCTCAGTTTCCCAGGATGCTCAGCTTCCAGATGTGTGCTGCCCGGCTCATCAGTTCCTTTAGAGAATAGCTTGGGCTCCTTCCTGTTTCATCATGGGAAGGAGTGCTTTGGTCTGGGTCATCTTTGCCCCCTCATTTAAAGCCTGGATTTTCTTGAGGGTGAGGGATAGAGTTAGTAAGATGGGCTTGGGGCAGTTGACAGGGCACAGGGCCAGAGAGCACAAAAGTGGCTGGTGAGTCCTAAGCTCCCTTCTGCCGATATGCAAACGGCAGGTCCACCCTGCTGGACACGTAGGAACTGAGCTCTGCTGCTCCTCAGTCCTGTGTGGACGGGGCAGGAAGAAGCGTATGGGAACACAGCAGGAAGAGACGGACATGACACATGGAGGAAGAGGAGTAGGCGGGGCAATGGAATGACTGCCCAGATGTGTCTGCTTAGGGTGCAGGCCTGAATGGCAGGATCGGTGACTCTGTGCTAGCCATGCATGGTTTCTCATGTCCTGTGGGTGATTTGGTGCAAACAAATGAGTTTTTCTGAATTACACTTTCATAATTTGAGAGAATGTGGCAAAGAGTATTCCTTACAACAGGGGAAAGATAGACTCTTTAATAAACAGTGCTGGGACAACTAGCCTTGCATGTGCAGAAGATTGAATTTAGAACTGTGTCTTTCACCATGCACAAAACTAAAATCAAAATGGATCAGAGTTCTAAGTCTTGAGCCAGAGACCCTTAAACTGCTGGGAGACACAATAGGTGAGGTTCTTGAAGTCGTAGGTATAGACAAGGCCTCTCTGAATAGAACCCCAGTTAGGAAATAGTTCTAGGAATCAACAAGAGGGACCAGATTAAGTCAAAAGCTTCAGTGCAGCAAAAGACGCAACCCACAGACTGAAGAGACAGTCTACACAATAGGAAGAAATCGTGCCACCTATTTCTCAGGTAGATGACTCATATGCAGAATACACAAAGAATGCCCTGAAATCGTATCCTCCAAAGTAAAAGATCCAGTCAAAAAATGGGCAAGTGAAATGAACAGACACCTCACAGAAATGCATGAATGGCTAATGAATACATGAAGAGATTTCAGCATCACTGGCCATTAGATAAATGGCAATTAAAACAATACTGAGGGGCCAGAGAGATGGCTCAGTAGAATAAGTGCTTGGCTGTCAAGCACAAAGGCCTGAGTTCAATCCCTGGTTCTGCCTAAATAAATAAAACAATACTGTGATACCATCTTACCTCAGAAAGAATGGTAAACATCAAGAAATCGAATAATAACAAGTGCTGGGGAGGCTGTGGGGGAAAGGGAACCTTTTACACCGTTGGTGGGAATGTAAGGTAGTGCGGGCACTACAGAAATCCACATGGAAATTCCTCAGAAAACTAAAACTAGAGATTCCATTCAACCCAGGTATACTCCTAAGTGTCTTCCCGAGAGAGTTAAAGACATCAAGGCACATGCATACCTTGATGTACATGAACCTTGTACAGAGAGCGGTACACACATAGCCGTGTTGCGGCGGCACAGTTCACAGCAGCTGAATCTGGGAAGCGGCACGTATGTTTGTCAGCAGGTGAACGGGTAAAGAAAAGGTGGCCCTTGCGCATAATGGGGCGCTGCTTTGCCACAGAGAAGGGACATTAGAGTTCCTTGGACAGAAATGGGTTCACCTTGAGCCCATGATGTTAAGGAAATACATCAGACACCCAAGCTTAAGATTGGCATGGTTTCTCCTATGGCAGAACCAGAATAAAAAGCAAAATGACAGACAACAGGAAGTAGGAGGGTCAATTGTTCTCAAAGGGGAAGGATCAAGAGATGGAGGGGAAGGCAGAGAAGGGATAAGGACTGAGAGAAAGGAATTGGGGCGTGTTGTGTAATGTGCCGACCCTGCACAAGGCTTGCAAAGCTTATGCACTGCAGATATGTACTAATAAACTAATTTAAAAAAAATTAAAAATGGGTTGAAAAAAAAGAATATTCCTCATGGAGTTGTTGATAGCATGCACATAAAGCAGTTCTCCTAGCTAGGTGTGCCAGACCTGCAATGCCAAGGCTCAGGAGGCAAGGCAGGAGGATCACTGTGAATCTGAGGCCAGCCTGGGCTCCACAGTGAGTGCAAGGGCAGCCCGAACTACTACATAGTGAAAAACTGTCTCAAAAAAAAAAGTCGGTTCTCCTACTTCTTAAGACATAGCAGTCACCTAACAGAAGCTAGCTACTTTAATGATAGAGGTGATGGTGACCCTCAGGAAGCCTGGCCTCACGCGTAGGAAGAAAGGAGGTCTTCCAGAAGCCATGTCCACCCTGAGAGGGAGGGGCAGGAGCAACACAGGGGCCTCACCTACCAGTGAACACGCAGTCGACCTCCCGGGGCTCCAGACCAAAACCAAGGCTCTCCGCGGCCACGCCCAGGGCACGTGCAAAGTGGGCATCAGCGAGGAAAGAGCCATCTGAAGAGCTGACAAGGCTGGCCCTGGCACTGGGGGCGTTGTCCTCAGAGGCTGAACCCCAGCCATTGGCCAGGGAGCCCTCACTGGGGGTGGGGGTGGGGCAGGGCCGAGGTGGGCACAGCAGACCCCCCCCTTCAGAGGACACCCCTCCTCCACCCCTGCTCACATCTGCCAGCTCTGAGGCTGTCGGGATGCTGATGTACCCATAGGTGGTAGGGGGTGAGGGCGCCCTGGGCATAGGAGAGATGCTGTTCCTGGGAAGGGCAAGATGATGCAATGGTTAGAGCATGGTAGCAGAAATGTGCCAGTTGAGGCAGGAGCAAAGACCCCCCACAGTCTCTTGGGCTCTGCCCAGGCACTCACCTGGGGGTCTCCTCGCCCTCACTGAGTTCCAGGCACAAGGCTACCTCCTCAGGGGTCAGCACACTGTCCTGATCCTCCCCCAGGGAAGACAGTGAAGAGCTGGACAGGCGGCTGGAAGCTGGGCTAGGACCAGATAGGGACGAGGCCTGGGGGCTGGGGGGCCCAGAGTGGTGAAGGACAGGCAGGGAGGAAGAAGCTTGGGGTTCCTCTGAGTGCCTGGTTGGGGTACAGGAGGAATAGCAGGGTGGTTAACACTATTCTCTGGGTCTTGTCCACCCCTTCCTTGTCCCTGTCCAGCTCCAGCCCCCCTCCCTGCCCTGTGCCCTCTTACTGGGTCTGTGGACTCTGGCTGGGGCTTCCGCCAGGACAGAGAGGCACTGGAGGGAGAGGGCGAGTCGCCAGCTCACTGGACTTACGGAGGAGCTGTGGTCCCAGGGCCCGCCAGGCCATCAGAGCCCCGGGTGCAGCTGCTGGGAAACAGGAGCCTGGGCCTGAGAACGGCAGGAGCTCACTCAGCTGAGGATGCAGCCAGCTGGCCACCCAGCCAGCCCCTGAGTCACTGTCTCCCCTCCGCCCCCAACTTGCTCAACCTCCCCGGGGACCCAGAAACGGCCAGGCATGGAGGCCTGGGCTGGTGGGTCGCCAGAGCCTGCCTCCTCAGCCCTCCTTTCTCCTTGGGTTTGCCTCTCACCAGGGCTTTGAGAAGGGTTCTTGCAGCTCTTGTGTCCCAACTCCCAGGCCCAGAGCTCCAAGGGTTGGCTGCCCCGTAGCAGTGGGGAGCTGTTGGCTTGGTGTAGTTCTGAAAGCAAAGAGCTGGTTGGAGATGAGGCAGAATGAGCCTTTCAGACCCCAACCACAGGCTTCATCTTTCCCCTTGTTATTTATTTGAGCCCAGAACAGAAGAGGAAGAGCCTCCCCAGTCCTGTCTGTCTCCCCATCTTCATCCAGGCAGCTGTGACAAAAGGAAGGGGCACTGGGAAACCAGACAAAAGCCCTTCTCTGCTGTGTGACCTCAGAGAGGTCTATCAACCTTGCTGGGTCTCAGGTCTGTTGTGTCAGCAACCCCTTCAAATGATGGTTTTGAAGATTAAATAAAAATATCACAAAGTGCCTGGCGAATAATAGTTACATTAAAGGAACTTTTTTTGTCTTCACTGTACTGTATTCCACTCTAATCTTCCTGATCTCTACTCCTTCACAGCGCTCCTCCCCTCATGAATTTCAGCTGTCTGAAGGCACATACTTCTTTTCTTGGGGAGAATCTGTTCATTATTTCCATTTCTTACATCACAAGTACCTCACATGCTTCTGGATAGCCCTGCCTTGAGACTCTGGAGTGTCTCTCACTTGGGGTGATAGGTTGGACTGTCAAGCTGAATGAATATGACAGAAATAGGAAGGCCCAGACCATACACGTTGAAACCAGAGAGAGTCGCTGACTGACAGGACCAGGATCTTCAGAAGAGGGCATGTGTTGGTCTCACCGAGGGAGCCAAGGCCCTGCCGGAGTCACTCAGTGATGTCTGCTGAATAAATGAGTGAATGCCTGGTCCTGACCAGAAGCCCGCATTCCCGTGGCCTGGACTTCTGATCCCTTGGCTTGAAGACCCACACAAAGGCTAGAATTTTCCCATTAAGGTTTCCATTTATATTTGTATTCTTAGCTGTTTCTATTTATATTTGTATTCTTTAGTTTTCATCTGACTTTAGGGAGTCCTGGAGACCAGCTGCAAGGTTTGTGACCTGCTGCCATCAGGTGTGCAGTGTCTAGTGCCTGATTCCCTGACTGAGCTAGGACATGCGAGTCTATGCTGGTGGTTGACCTGAGTGGAAAGGAAAGGGAAAAACCCAGGCCTGGGAAAGCCCTTAGTCATTGCAGCCTGTTTCATTGCCTACAAGGGACCATGGCAACAAGGGGCCTCCTCCCACTTTGCCTGGAGTCACCAGGATTTTAGCTCAGGTGTTGCCTGAAAGAACTATACAATAAAATGCCATCAAGGTCAAAGGCTGAATTTCACTGGCCATGTGTGAGCTGCTCTAGGCATATGTGGGATGAAATAATGAACGAAGCTACTTCTGGCAAAAAGGGCCTGACCATGAGCCTTATATAATGGACAAAGGGTTGGGGAGATAGCTCAGTGGAATAAGTGCCCACCTGGCAAGTGCAAAGTCCTGAGTTTGATCCCCAGTACACACACACACACACACACACACACACGCACGCACGCACAAAGTATATTCAATTAAAAAAAGAAAAAAGAAAGAAAAAGAAAAAGAAAGGGCCTAAGCCTCACTTCAGAATTGGAAACATTGTATGAACTGCCTGCTGGGCTGGGGTGTAGCTCCATGGGAGAGCGTGAGGTCTTGGGATTTAATCCTCAGCAAGAAGGAGAAGCAGAAGAAGGAAGAAGAGGAGGAGGAGGGGAATGGAGATTAGATGGGGAAAGGGAAGTGGTAGGGAAAAGGGGAAAGGAAGAAGACGTGAAAGAAAGGAAGGCAGAGAAGGAGGGAAGAGAGGAGGAGGTGGAAAGGGAAGACTGCCTGGAGAAAACCACTCACCTAATATTCTAGAAGGGGCTACATGTCTCACTAAATGAGACTCATTCCACCTGTTGGCTAGCTTGCTTGTTTTTCGAGACAGGCTCTGTGAAGTTCAGGCTGGCCTGGTGATCCTCCTGCATCAGCTCCTGAATGCAGGGATTGCAGGCGTGCGCCCCACACCCAGCTCTTCATTCCACCTCTCTTTCCTTGGTATCTCATTACCACTCAGGGCTTATAATGCAGTAGCTCTGAGGTCTAGCTAGAAGGAATGTCAGTTTTGCTAGCAATTCGAGTCATAAAATTCTGGATATTGAACAATCTCTTCATTACTTTTCATCCATCTTTGTTTTAATAAGTTTGGATTGTGTACATTGAAAAATGTAGAATATTTGTTAGATATATCTAATCTGCACAGAAGCCTCAAGAAAACAGCAAGAGGAGAGCAGGGCTGTGTTCTGCAGGCCACATGAGGAAGCAACAGCCAAGATGGCAGGGATTTCCTCAGGGGCCTTCAGAGGGATTCAGTCAGCCTTCAGAAACTCAAGCTCCTAGCTTCAGCTAATATTGGTGAAATTTCGAATAAGTTATTCAGTCACTCTGACCCTCTTTCTCTATGGGCAAAATTAGAGAAATACTATAATACCTATATGACCTAGTATAAAGATCAAAGAAAATAACAAAGTGAAACACTAGGGCAGGCCCAGTAGCTCAGTGGATTAGAGTGCCTGCAAGCAGGTGCAGGGGTGGGAGTAGGGGGATGAGGGAATGGGGGGAGTGTTCAATGCTCGGGCTTGCTGTGCTGGCCTTGCCCCCGTGGCACACTGAGATGGCAATTGAGACTGGGTGCGGTGGCGCATGCCTGTTATCCCAGCTCTTGGATCACTACAAGTCTGATCTAGTAGTGAGACCCTGAATACCCTGTAGACCCTTCCCTAAAATACAAACAAAACAAAACAAAACAAAAAAAAAAACCCTCACACCATTAAACAGATAAGAGGTTATTACACAAAGACTGTAGTTATTTCTCTCTGGAAAGTCAAAAGCAGGGGCCAGGGAGATGGCTCAGTAGAATGAGCACTTGCCTGGCAAACATAAGGGCCTGAGTTCAATCCCCAGTTCCGCAAAAAAAAAAAAAAAGAAAGTCAAAAGCAGGCTGTTGAAAGTCAGGAAAGAAAGGAAATACAATTTTCCCTTGGCTTCATAGAGGCCGGTTCCAATGCCCCTATAGACCGAAATGCCCAAGAAAGGTTAACTCTCTCATATAATGAGGCATCATGGGCTGGGGAGATAGCTTGGCAGTGTACCTGCCTGCTGGCAAGCTCAAGGACCTGGGTTTGATCCAGGGTACCAAATCCCGTGCCGACCCTCAAGACTGGCTATGGTGGTGCAGGCCTGTAATCCCTGTGCTGTGGAAGCTGAAAATAGGAGGATCGCTATGAGTCTGAGCTGCGTAGCTATCTCAATGTGCCTGGGGACAGGGCCTGTGTGGCATGTGGTGCTGGGGATCGAACCCCAGTCCCTTAGCTGCCTAAACAGGTGCTTAGTCCACTGAGCTATCTCTCGGCTCTTAAATAAATAATTTTTTTTTGAAGTGGCATCATGTTTGCAAGTAACCTTCATATATCCTTCTGTACACTTTAAATCACCTCCAGGTTACTCATAATCCTTAATGCAATATAAATAGTTATTGTATAGTATTGCTTAGGAATGATGGCAAAAAAAATCACACGTTTGGTACAGATACAAGTTTTCTAGATATTTTCAGTTCAGAATGAGTGGGGCCCTCCAGAACGTGGAATCTGTGGCCAAGGAGGGCACACAGCCCATTCCTCTCCTAGAAGTGGGCTAGGGGTTGATGCCCAACAGGCATGCGGAGGAAGGGAGAAGCCCAGGCTTCCTGCCAGCCCTGGCCATGCGGGGCCAGGCTTTAGCACTGCTTTGTGCTGAGCAGCACCTCAGCAGACAGGGAGCCTGCAGAGGACAAAGGCTACGCCTGGTGTCCCCTGTAGCCCACGTCTACTGTAAGGGGTGCTCTCTCATTGTTCACGGAGTTGAACTGGCTAAAAAATGGTGCCAAGAGGGGCATGGTGGCACATGCCTGTGAACCCAGCACTCAGGAGGCTGAGGCAGGAGGGTCACTTGGAATTCAAGGCCATCTTAGGCTGCAAAGTATGTTCAAGGCCAGCTTGAACTGTCTTAAAAAGACAAAACAAGCAAACAAACTACAGGGCCCACTGCTGTACAGACAAGTCAAAGTGGGCCCACTCCTGATGAGGCCCTGTGTCTTCTGAGCCGGAGGAGGGTGTCCTGGGAGCCACCGCCCACACCCTGTCTGGGCTTTGAGACCAGAAGCCCAGTTCCCACACTTGGTCTGCCCCGCAGCGGCCCCTGCTGACCTTGCTTCTTCTTGACCTTCCAGGCCTCCGTAGGGGCCAGAGACAAGCGGGGTGAAGCAAGGCCCCTGCGGCTGCAGAGGCTGTCTGAGCTGGGCCAGGGGCTGGAGGTCCGCACCACAGGGTCAGGGAGGCGTCTGGCAGCTGAGGCCTGGGGGCTTGGCCGGGCTGGGGAGCTGGAGGGCAGCTCGGCGATGAGGGAGCCATAGAAAGTGCTGGTGTCTGGAAGCAGGGGCACCCCGGGGCTCCGGGGGTCCCAGGAGATCACTGCAATAAAAGCAACAAGAGTTACAGCGTGCCAGTCGCACCCGGCCTTCCCATCTCCATCACTGGGATCCCTGTCCCCATAAGGTGTACTCACAGGAGCGCCTGCAGTCCAGTGGGTCTACTCCCAGCCGGCTGTTGAGGCTGCTGTTACTGCTCAAGTCTCGAGAGCCAGAGGTGGATCGCCAGGTGTCTGCCAGCCAGGGGGAGTCACTGTGGTCCATCCTGAGAGAGTGGGTGGGTAGAGGGGTGGGGGAGAAGAACAGTTCGAGGGGACAACCTAACTGGGCAAGACCCCCGCCCGGAAGGTGGTCGAGGGGTTGAGGAAGGTGGCGTTAGCTTGGTCCTCACTACTACTTTTTAGTCCTTCACTGACTCTGGAAGATCACAGCCCCAACCTCTGTGCCCCTCTCTGTCCCAGGATCAGGGGAAGCCCAAGTTGCCTAGGGCTAGGAGATGACAAGGAGAAGTAACTGTGGATGTGGAGGTTAGAAGGGCAGATCTGGACCAGGCAGACCTGGTTTACAAATCTCTTATCTGCCCCAGATCGCACTACAACCCAGGCAAGTAAATCCATTTATTTGCTTCTCTCAGCCTGCTTTCTTCATGTGTGAAATGGCAACCATGGACACTCCATGCGCGGCTGACTGCCATGAGTTTCAGTAAGGAAATACGAGGTCCCTTAGCTGGTGGAGCAGGAGCTTGCCCCAGGGCTGTTGGCTGCCAGCTGCCCGAGGTATCCTCCAGGAGCAGAGATCTATAGACGTACTCCTTATTTACCCACACAGAGTCCAGGCACCTGGCTCAGCTGACAGAGCCTTCCTCAATCTGCCTTCCAGCTCCCTACCTGATCCTTCCTGGTTGTCCCCCTTGCCCCTCATGCCCACGTCAGACCAGATGGTGGGTTGCTGAGAGTTGAATGACCAGAGGGGACCAGGGAGCCTTTGTCCACATCATTTAACTTTTGTGACTCTCAGTTTGCTCAACTGCTGAGTGGCGCAGTAGAACATTAGTGACAGAGAAATTAACTGTAATATGGAGTCCTGGAGTCCCAGGAAGTCGAACTGCCTGGCAGTATCATAGCCCAGCACTTGGATTCCTGGCCCACCTCTAATGCTGCTGGACTCCCCATCCCATAGGGCCTGACCCTTTCCCCTCTCACCTGTGCTTTAGGATAGCGTCCTCACTGGTGTATCTGTACAGACCTGCAAGAAGGCAGAGAGAAGACTAAAGCCAGAGGTCTGACCACCCCCTGACCACAGATCAAATCCACTGCAGCATCCTAGCTGGACCTGGGAGACCTGACTGTGTGAGATCGGCCCTCTCACCTGGGCCCATGTGCATCCTGGCTTGACGTCTGCGGTAGAAGCACACGGCGATGCCCAGCAGCAGTAGCCAGAGCAGGACACCTCCACTGGCGATGACCTCTGGCCTCCGCACGGTGGCCCTCAGCCACTCCAGGGTCCAGGGACCCTGATCACTGGGTTCTTGGGCTGATCGTTCCATGGCCCGCTCTGCACAGAATGTGGGGCTCAGGTGGAGGGCAAGTGAGGCAATGAGTGGCAGACAAGAGGGAGGGGCTAAAGTGTAGGCGGGAATAATGAGAGAAGAGGTGGCCTGGTGCTGAAGGGCTGGGACCCTGGGCACTGCTCTCACCTAAAAGTAGGCAAACAGGGCTACTGGGCTCCCCAGCCCCAGCCCCCGTGAATGCAGCCACTTGGACACAGTAGGAGCCTGATGTTTGGGTATCGATCTCCAGCTGGGCCTGCACACCCAGGACGGTGCGGTTGACAGGAGGCGATGAGTTGTTGCCCAGGCTCCAGACCTGGGACACAAGCAGAGGTGAGCAGCTGAGCCCTTCACCTGCAGATCCCACTCGAGGCACCTGGTCTCCTGCCCTGCCATCCACCTGGAGACCCTCCTCCCAGCACTACATACTTATTCTCCACTCTTCTGCCAAGTGAGGAGGATTTCTCTCCAGAAAAGGACAAACGTAACCTGTTAACATATATGCAGGACCAGTGACTCTCATGTATAAGAGTCAGCACATTCCAGAGTCACCTGGGGCCTTACTAAACCACAGGTGGCCAGGCTCATTCATGAGTTTCTTTCTTTCTTTTTTTTTTTTTTTTTTGGCGGAACTGGGGATTGAACTCAGGCCCTTACGCTTGCCAGGGAAGCGCTTATTCCACTGAGCCATCTCCCCGGCCCGATTCATGAGTTTCTGATACAGCGGCTGAGAATGGTTCTGAGAACGTGCCTTCCTAACAGGATCCTAGATGATGCTGATGCTGGCGGTTCGGGAGCCACACTTTAAGCACCACTGCCGTAAAGACTTGGAGTACGGCCCCTCCTGGTTCATTGCTGTTCCACTTCTTTTATCTGTGACCTTAGCCTCACTTTCTACAAGCTAAATGGAGATCATAACCCAGGGCAGATTGTGAAATGAGACAACGGAGGCAAAGTGCTTGGCAGGTCTGGCAGACAGTAGACCCTCACTTAACAATGGTAAAATTCCTTTGCTTTTCCCCTGCAGTCCTTTTCTCAGTGACCAGAGTGAGGGGATATAAATTACAGGGTGGAAGCATGTGCTGGTGGCATTACAGTGCCTACTTGTGGGAGTACCTGGTAGCCGCGGATGATGCCATTGTGGTTTTCAGCAGGTGGAGGGACCCAGCTCACAAGGATGCTGCTGTTGTCATGCTTTAGGGTCACTTCCTGGGGTGGGGCACTGGGTACTAGGGGAATGAAGGGCAGCTATTAGGGGTGATGATCTCTCAAGACTCTTCTGAGAGCTGGAATGGGGGACGTAGAGTCAGAGCTGCACTGAGCAGAATGGCACCTTCTTCAGCTGTGCTTACCTAGCCAAGGTAGAAGGAAGCCCTATCATCCTCCCCAGATTAGTAAGGCAGTCCAGGAGTCCCCGGGCAAGAAGGGACCCAGGTAGCAGGGAGAGCCCTTCCCTGACCTTGCTCTGGCAGGCTCAGGAGCAACACGTTGCTGTCAGGGCCTCGAGCCCGGCCGGAGGTTGGTCTCACTTTGAACTCGTAGGCTTGGCCCCAGCGGAGTCCACCCAGCTCTGCGCTCTGCCAGCCGTCGAGCAGCGCCTCTGCCCACGCAGCCCTCTGGCCTCCCTGGGCTGTCTGGGCCCTGAACAAGGCTGTGTAGGACTGAGCAGCAGGTGCAGCAGGGCCACTCACCTGGGAAGGAACAGGAGGAGGGTGGGCGTCAGAGGCCTGTGACAGCCCTGTCTTGAGCTCTGGGCTGGCTGTCACCCCTAGGCCTTACCTTCCAGCTGAGCCACACAGCTGGCCCAGGCTTGGGGTCCTTCTGCTGGTCTGAGTTCAGCAGAGTCACATTTTC